CTTTCCTTTCCTTTCCTTTCCTTTCCTTTCCTTTCCTTTCCTTTCCTTTCCTTTCCTTTCCTTCCCTTCCCTTCCCTTCCCTTCCCTTTCCTTTCCTTCCCTTCCCTTCCCTATCCCTTCTCTAATCCCCTCCCTTCCCTAATCCCTTCCCTAATCCCTTCCCTAATCCCTTCCCTCCCTTTCCCAAATTCCTTTCCTTCCCAATCCCTTCCTTTACCAAATCACTTCCTTTTTCAAAATTCTTTCCCAAATCCCTTCCCATTTCCATTTCCATTGCCATTGCCATTGCCATTGCCATTGCCATTTATTTCCATTCCATTCCACTTGATTCCATTCTACTCCATCCTGTTCTGTTCCACCTTCCTCCCTTTTCCCATTTTTCACTTTTTCCAGCAAGTTCCTGCTTTTCTGGCTGCCTTGCAGCCCTCTACACGGTGGTTCAAGTGTCCATTATTTGTTTCAGTGACCCTTCCACACTCTTTCCACAAAGATCACGTGAGAGTTTGTCACTAAAAACAACGTCAGTATTTGGCATAAAAAGTGTTAACAAGAAAATAAACCAAAGCAAAATTTCCAAATGAGTCTGGGAAAGCAAGGATTGACCCCACCAGCAGCGTTACCTGGCTGCTAGGGTAGAAAGAAATAAAACTGTGTTAAGTTCTTGTGCTGAAGAATGAAAAATAAATGTCAAGGGTTTGGCCTAGAAATGACAGGATGCTGTGCACTAAACTGTGGGAAAAATGAACAGATTATTAATTATAACAAAATATTTGTTTGTATGTTGACTTGYTAATTATTAGGACACAGCAATGGGATGGGCATCCATAGACTTCAGTGCAGTTTARGATGTAGAGTCAACCCCAAACCTCCTTGGTCACTGCAGTCACTCRTTTACCCTTCATTGTCATTGATAATTCAGAATCCCACTCCAATCTTTAAAACCAAAAAGACTCACCTGAGCACACCTCTTTGTAGGTAGGATTTGGGGTGTGTCCTCCTGCATAACCCACTTGGGTGGAGTAGACTCCCTTCTGCCTCCAGAACTTCCTCTCAGCTCCCCAAAAACAGCCCATACCTGAAGAGGGCACAAAACACACATTGGGATGTCAGAATCTGCCAATATTCAATCACTCATTTGCATATTAATCGATTTAGGGCACAGTGGAAGGAACATCTTTAGGCAGCACCTGCTGGTCAAGTGTTTTCCAAGTTTATTTATAGGGTGACTATAAAGAGAAATCCATTCTGCATCAGAGCACGACTCAAACACAGCTTGATTTATGCTTCTGAAAATCAATTTATCACAGAGGACAAACCTTGGGAAGGTTCAAAGGCCGAAACAAGGAGAATTCTCATGCACACACCAAAAAAAAAGTTCCTTACAAGGTAACTGTGCTGTTTGTGCAGCACCATTTTTACTTSAGTTGATTAGGAAGCTGTCAAAACACAATAATTTGTATTAATGGCAAACAGTTATTTAATTTTCTGCTTTCAGGSAGAGGTGGCAGCAATAATGGATTATATTATATTTTATATTAGGGGGAAAATGCTTCAGTTTAACAATTTATGCAGAGAGATATTTGATGTTCAGACAAGATTTTTGTAGCCATTCACCCCTGTGGCCAATTATCAAAGGACATCAAATTGTTTAGGGGTGTAAATTGAAAACTCTCCTGGTTAAAGGAATTAAGGAACAAACACCACCAACATTGATAACTGTCTGATGGCCCAGTTAAATAAATGTTTAARGGACTATTTTTTAGATTATTTGTTTAGAGTGTCATGGAGATTCCAGTATTGTAAAGCTGGAGCGATGAATTTCCCTTTTCAGTGACAACGTTCTGTTATTACTCCCTTTCTAAACCAGTTGAAACAAATGCAGTAAAAACAAACTAAATATTAAATACTCTCAAAAATCAGTGATCCATGAGGAGTTTTTTATTGGTTACACTGCAGATATGACAGGTTAAAAAGTTACAGAAATGATCTTTCAAAGCCCAGCCAGAAGAACGCAGCAATCCCTCCTCCAGCCTTGATGGCTCGCAATGTCCTTTCTCTCAACCTTCAGAGATTAACTTCAAATTTACCATTTAATGCACCAAAAAGTACAGAAATGGAATTTCTACTTCTAATTCAGGTGTTTAAGCAAGATGGAAGAGTTGAGAGGCAAGGGCTGCTCGTGGAGATCCTGAAAAGATACAGGAATATCCTGAGGAGAATTCCTGCARAAGATTTAAACTGATGATGAAATTGCAATTATTGTCCCTTGATTATAGAGAGAATCAGAGTCGTTCAACTTCGGTTCCTCAGCTAAATCAGGCTGGTGGCTCCAAGCTCTGTCCAGTCTGGCCTTGGACACTTCCAGGGATCCAGGGGCAGCACAGATTCTCTGGGAATTCTGTCCCAGGGAACAATTCCTTCCCAATATCCCATCCATCCCTGCCCTCTGGCAGTTTGAAGCCATTCCCTGTGTCCTGTCCCTCCATCCCTTGTCCCCAGTCCCTCTCCAGCTCTCCTGGAGCCYCTTTAGGCTCTGGAAGGAGCTCTCAGCTCTCTCTGGATCCTTCTCTTCTCCAGGTGAGCACCCCCAGAGCAGTGGGGATTTCATTTCCAATTTCATTGGAACTCCCATGAAATTGGGCACACCGAGGCTGTATGGAACTGCTTCCAAGGGGATTTAACCAGTTYGGGGGGCTCTTTCTTAGATCCCAAGCTTGTGCCTGCATGAGAGACATGGAAAATAAACTCCTGTCCTACTCTAATACTTCAGTGCTGTGCATCCTTAATATTSCAAGGGAAGTTTTGCCTCAAATCCCAGCTGAGGCTCTGGCAGGAAGGACTCAGAAGCCAATTCATCAAATCATCACTGGCTGGAAAAACACACTGAGGGGTGGCCAAGGAGCAGCTTCATCCGTGCCAAGGAACAGGACACATCCACTTTTTTTTCCACATCCTATTCCTAAATCAGCACCTGAATGTGAACGAGCACCCCAAAATTAAGGARACAACCCAAACTCAGGTTTGAGTTCAGATCAAGGCCCGACTTCAAATACAAAGCAGAAAAATTTCATTCTCAACTGTTTTATTTTAAGGATTTTAATGCTCCATAAATCCCCTAATGGTGCTGTTGAAATTCCTGATCATCAGGACCATGGTCAATAACAATTATTTGGGATTCTCTCATTGATAATTCTGATCAATCACAATTATTTGGGATTCTCTCATGGATAATCCTGACCAACAACAATTATTTGGGATTCTCTCATTGATAATTTCGATCCATAACAATTATTTGGGTTGCCAAATTATTTTGGTTGATAATCCTGATCGATCACTATTATTTGGGATTCTCTCATGGATAATCCTGATCAACAACAATTAGTAGGGATTTTTGCATTGATAATCCTGATCAATAATAATTATTAGGGATTCTCTCACTAATAATCCTGACCAACAACAATTATTTGGGATTCTCTCATTGATAATTTTGATCCATAACAATTATTTGGGATTCTCTCATGAATAATCCTGACCAACAACAACTATTTGGGATTCTCTCATTGATAATCCTGATCAATCACTATTATTTGGGATTCTCTCATGAATAATCCTGATCAACAACAATTAATAGGTATTTTTGCATTGATAATCCTGATCAACAACAATTATTAGGGGTTCTCTCATTGATAATCCTGATCAATCACTATTATTTGGGTTTCTCTCATTGATAATCCTGATCACTCACTATTATTTGGTATTCTCTCATTTATAATCGTCCCTGAACTCTCTTTCCAGGGCAGTGATAGAGTCCCCTTCCCTGCAGGGATTTCAAAGCCCTGTGGATGTCACACTTGGGGACATGGGGCAGTGGTGGCCCTGGCAGTGCTGGGGGACWCTTGGACTTGATCTTGGAGGGTTTTTCCAACCTAAAAACTATTTCCARCCTAAACTCTGTGGATTTGACCAGTGTCCTGTGTATTTATCACGGATTTTTCCACTTTTCCCTCTCCCAGCTGATGCCTGAGTTCACTGTGCCGCCCTTTCCCGGAGAGAGAGGGATTTGATTCTCCTGGAGAACCGCTCTCATCATTTCTCAAGTGCGCTGCCACCTCACACAAACAATAAATCCTCCCATCGCCGAGAACAGATCAAATTGAAATCTTTGTCATAATAAAACAACCTGCTGGTAAAGAGACATCATTTACAACAATCCAGCACTAAATTGCTTTCCCCGGCATTAATCTGTTCAGCTGATGTTTGTTATTCTGCTAAAGTGGTGCCACGTTCGACAGAGAAATTGTCACAAGGAGAGAAATATTAACAATAAAATCCCACGTAATATTCCAGAATTAGACACGTGGGCTCGTGGAGTGCCTGTTTTCCAGAGCACTGCCTGCCTCAAGCCATGGCTAACAATTACTACCAAAACAGGGAAATCATTTCAGTTCAAAATTKCAAAATTTACAAAATTTGTAGCAGCAAAAAAAAAAGTTTACTTCYCTTAATTATTACTCCTTTAGTAAGGAAACCGAAKAAATAAATAATTTAAATAAWAAATTTAAATAATTAAATAAAACTCAGAGGGGGAAACAAAATAGTGAAAAATGGTAGGAAAAGAGCCATAAAAGCAAAATAAGCCACCCATATTATAATTTAAACCTCGAAAACATGAATGTGATTTTAAAGTATTCATGAAGTGATTTGCATAATCCCCAGTACTGGGGAAGTGAGTGCAGCTTTGGAGTTACAGAGGGAGCTTCCAGAGGCATTCCTAAGAGGAAGGGAAAAAAAGGAAACGCAGGGAAACACACTCACATTCCCAAGAAAAAAAAWGTCTTATTTGAACATAATGGGTGTTGCAGAGGAGTGTTTAAGCACTGAAGATATTTGTCACTTTTTAATTGCTAATTTGCAAAACAAAAACTATTCTTTCAGTGATGGGTTTTGACTGACTCTTAATTGGAATTTCAAAAGGTATTTTAAGAATTATTTTTTTTCTGTTTCTGAACTTACAACCCAAACAGATTTGAGCACGAATCTTGAATCATTCAACCATCCCTATGAAAAATATTAATCAAACAATTGGGGAATAAATTATAGAATCTATCTTCCTTTCCAGCATCCATTTTCTCCATCTATTCTCTTTATGGACCCATACTCCTATAGATCCTCTGAACAAGGTTTTTTCTCACTAAGGACCCTGTGTTTCCATAGGCAACCCAGTAATTTGCATATTCCTAATAAATAACCAGCATAAGCTGAAAAATTCTTCTAAACTAATGAAAGCAAAGTGCTACTCTGATAAGAGAGATGAGCACCCCATTCTTAGAGATAAAAAAAAATGTTGAAATATTCCAAGACAAATGGAGCAGAACTGAACGCCAGGTGTTGGCAGGGATGAGCAGCTTTATGGATTACATTGACCAGGGAGGTCCAGCATTCAGGGATTCATTTATTCCCCTAAATAGAGACATYTGGGACCATTTGAGATGTCTGAGGATATCCAAGGCATCTGTCAGCACAGGGCTGACAGAAATGACACAGAATTTSGGAAAGACACGTGGAAGGGCATGGAAAACACTCCTGGACATGGCAAATGGAACTCACTGAATCACAGAATGGTTTGGGTGGGAAGGGACTTAAAGATCATACAGTGCCACCCCCTGCCATGGACAGGGACACCTTCCACTATCCCAGGGTGCTTCAAGTCCTGTCCATCCTGGCCTTGGACACTTCCAGGGATCCAGGGGCAGCCACAGAATCTCCAGGCACCCTGTGGCAGGCATTCACCACCCTCACAGGGAATAATCCCTTCCCAATATCYCATCTGTCCCTGCCCTCTGGCAGTTTGAAGCCATTCTCTGTGTCCTGTCCCTCCATCCCTTGTCCCCAGTCCCTCTCCAGCTCTCTTGGAGCCCCTTTAGGCTCTGGAAGGGGCTCTGAGCTCTCTCTGGATCCTTCTCCTCTCCAGGTGAGCACCCCCAGCTCTCCCACCCTGGTTCCACCCTCGGAGCAGCTCCATGGCTCCTCTGGATTGGCTCCAGCAGCTCCAAATCTTTCTGCTGTTGGGGATCT